CAGCCTTGCGGCAGCGGTCTTCTTGGCGGTTTCTCTTTCCTTAGCCGGAGTGGCGTTTCTCCTTTTCATCACATGATCATAGCGGGGGCTGGTTGGGCACATACGCCTCGCCAACGATTTTGGTGTGGCCGGCGCCGATTGTTGTCTTGTTACGGTTGGGGATGAGGTTTGTGCCATGTTCTTCCTTTGTTCCCGTCTTTTCCCTAATGTTAGGATGGTGGGTTCTCCGGTGGGGGACACTTTTGTCTTTGGTTCCATCGTCGGTTTCTTATTTGCAGTTGTCGGGTTGTGTTGGGGGTGGGTTTTTGGTGCGGGTCTTCAGGTGCTGACCCGATGGTGACCTCTTTGGAAGGGATTCTAGTCAGTTGGTTCTAATCTACTTAGCCGTAGTGGGAGTTTCTACATCTGTGTTTTCAGGCTATAGGCCCGTTTATGTCTTCTTGGGTGGACGCCTTGGGTGTTCGCTCGACTGGTGGATGTTCGGAGGGGCTTTCTGATTTTTTGGGAGGACTTTATCATAGCTATTAAGTTTTTTCCCTGTAGTTTCTATTCTTGTATGTTTTTTGGTGGTTTGTAGTGTTATTCTCTTTTTTAAGAGCTTTTATTCTTCACTTGTGAGAGTGAGGTAGTGCTTGTAGTTGTGGGTGTGTTTTGTTAGTAGTGGTGTTTCTAGGCTACCTTTGAGTATTCATTTCGCTAAATTCAGTTGTATAGCTATTTTAGTCAGCCGCACTAATTATTATCTAGTTGTAGTTACGTGTTTTATTTATAAATTTAATCGTTTCGAAGAAAAAAAAAAAGTGATTGATCATCAAGTCATTAGACCNAAAAGTACAAGTGGGGTGTTTCCAAATACCAAACCAAAGAAAATCTAAAAACAGTCTTAGGTAGTATGTACTATACCTATAAAATAATGATGCCTACTTAAAGATCAATTCATGGACACAATTATATTACTAGACTAGTTTTGTATTTCCCCCTATTTAATGGAATTCCAAGTCATTATCCATTGCCTTTGTCTCTTATTGTCTTTGTGAGACATAATTCTCACTCACTGCACCCCATACCCCACTTGATATGGATGGTCAATATGACATATTTAGGGTGTTATTGGAGATATATTTAACCCCAAAAAAACTAATTATTTTTAACTTAATCATATTTTTTAACTTAATTTTAACTCAACCATACTATCTTCAATATTATCAATATAACTAAATAATATCAATCAATCATTCTTATAAATCGCATGAATTTTAATTCACTATTTATCTACTCACATAGTTTTAACTAACCATTACTTCACATCATATCTCTCTCACTTTTTACATCAAATCACATGAGAGTTTTTGGATTTCAATGTTTTCTAGTACAACACGTGTATTACACGAGTGCTTGTTAAAAACTTATTCTAAAATTTTAAAGTGTTCAACTTTAAATACTTTTTTTAAAAAGAAATATTATTATATATTTTGAATAATACTTGTTAATTGTGCGACTTACATGTATTATATTATAATATTTTTTTCTAACTTATATCATCTAAATACTTTAATCATAACTATATTAATTAATAAATAATGTTACTTTTTAACTAATATTAATAAATAATTTTATTATTGTTGATAAATATAATTTTTTATTTTATACATACAATATGGATGTCAAATCGAAGTTCATCAAAAGATTAATAATTTGATATATTATACATAAGTTATTAATTTTTAACACAATTTTACAATTCAATGATTATAATATGAAATGATATTGTAATGCAATTAACTAGTCGTGACACGTGTGATGCACGGGATGATATATTTTTCTAAATTTTTTTTAATATTTAATAATAAATTTAATGGACTTGTTATATATGTAACAAATGTAAACGAGTCGGACAAATTAAAAGATTCATAAATTATTGAACACTTCCATGTAGACAACGTTTTTTGTTTGATTTGGTGGAGAGTCATCGTCACCACAGACTAATAATTTAAATAATATTAGCATATGAATTCAATAATAATAATTAAAAAAATGACAAAAATAAAGTTATTTACCTCTTTGTCATGGAAATTTATTTCTAAACACATTTTTGTACTTGGCTTCGAATTTTCTTTAAAATACGGACAACCTTTACTTTTAAGTATGGCTTGTTTGTTCCATAAACAGACTTAAAAAAACCCTGCACGAGCGGCATATTGATATAGTGGGAAAAATGAAATTAGTCAGATTCTATAGATTAGGGATTGAAAAAAAATGCTAAACAGATGTGGTAAACGATTTGCGTAATTGACTACTTATATATATAGATGTCCTAAATTATTTTTGTTAAATGTGATATATGGTTCTAATTAAAAAAAATCGTTCAAGATTTGTAACGTTACCATTCGGTCTGACTTATTTTGCGATAAGATAATAATGAATTTTGTAAATGAGATATATTTTATTATTTGCTTAGATTTTTACTAACATAAAATGAGAAATATTTGAATCCTTTAATAATTGTTTTAATCGAATTTCCTTAAAATTAATGTACAAAATTGCGAAAGGTTTTTTGTAGATATAATTGAATTCGATATTGCAATCAGAATATAAATTAATTTTAAAAATGATACATTTTTTGTTATAGGTGAATGTTCCCTAAAAATTTGGTGACAATGTATTAGCTTTTTGTCACCCAATTGAGTAAATTCCGGTGACATGTGAAATTGAAATTCTTTGACTTGTGGTTTATTTATTTAGATGTGTTTCTATGAAATAATATAGGTAAAATTAAATTTGATTGATGTAGCTTTCTATTTATCATTCGTTTATACGATTATTTAATTAAATAAATTTGTTATTTATTAGTATATAAATTTGAATAGTGAATTTATAATTGGTCAAATAATATGTAAATCAAAATTTCAGATTACATTTGTATTAACTTATGCCACTTTATGCATGTCTATTACAAATGACAAAATATTTATAAATGAATATTTTGATTTCTCTTTGATTATAGTAGCTCACTGTATTTGTGAACAAAAAAATAATACATTAAGTTTTATTTAATTGATTATAAATAATATTTGATTATAAATTAGAAAGAGAAATAAAGTTTCACAGCGAAACGTTTTTTGTAAACAAAAGCTCTCCACTAATTATACAAATAAATTTCAGCTAAACAGGGTATGCCGGATTTATTTACAAACTAAGTTCTCGACCAACCAACAAAAACTCTAATTTATAAACGATTAAATATTAATAGAATCCTTTACATATGGAACCGAATTTTAAGTGAATTTTGCATAGGAAATCTATACCATAAATAATTTGAAATGTCGCAAAAGAGTATACATAGTTGTTTTTCTTCTGTTTTTGCGCTTATTTTATGTAATTTTTGTGATGAGTCGAGTCGCTTTTGGTTCTTATTTGCATTGTTCTGGTGCATTTTTCCTTGTATTTCTCATTTCTAGTTTTTAGGGTCGTTTTAGTTTATTTTGTTATCTTGTCTTTTATTTTGTCCATTGCAAATGGAGCTGGAAGAGTCATTGTTGACAATTCTCCTGGCATAGTGCTAATAATGGACTAAATCAAAATGGCTCAATTAAATTCTAGTGCTTCTTCTATTAGAGAAGTTTCTAGAAAAAAAAAAATATCAAACGGCGTAATGCACCTTGGGTCGCTACGGAAACAAGCTCCTTGTATAATTACAAGGGTAAGGTCTGCGTACAACTGGCCCCCCAGACCCCAACCTGTTGGGATTATACTGGATATGTTGTTGTTGTTGTTGTCTTGTCTTTTATTGGGCTCATCTAGTGTGTTTGGGCACTTTAAAGTTCGAATCTTTACAAGAAAAATCGAGACTTATTGTAGAGTTTAGTGATTTCGTAGTAAACCTTTCGACTTTAGCTTCTAAGTGCGTTAGTTGCAGTTCGTTTCTCTCGTTTTTGCCTTTTTATTTGGTTTGGAGCGCTCCGGTTGAGTAAAGCTTATATCTTTAATTAAAATTTGCATCTTCAATTCCCTAGTTTAATTAGTTCAAAAATCCCCCAAATAAATTGCTTAAATGTTTAAGACCTTATTTTCTGTTTTCATGTCTTTGGACAACTAATTGGTAGGCAAAACTTTGAACCGTCTTCCTTGAGAGAAAATCTGAGGTTGGAACAAATCAGTTATCAATTATTCCCACTAAAATCAACTAAACAATAATCTGTACCATAAATAATTTAAAATTAGAAAATCATATATATTAAACGCGTGAAGATCAAAAGTCGTTGAAAATTTGAATTTAAATCGGTGTACCAAAAGAATTAAGTCAAAGGCTTTGACCTATTTTTTTAATCAACTTTCCACAAATGATTTTTCCATCAACCTCTTTCAATATATATAGATATAGATACATCTATACCATGAACAATCAACATATTTATGGATAATCCGAACCTAATTATTTTAAGATTGGAAATAAATTAGAATCCATCCAAGCCAATATTGAAGCATACAATTTTGCCACATAAAATTTCGAAGCATGCGAGCCTGCCATTGAAGCCCAACACATTCGAGAATTATATATAAGAGAGATTTGACGATTATTAATACTTTATGTTTGATATATAAACATAACCTTTTTTAGCATGTAACAATATTTGATAACATGAGCTTGTCATAAATTACAAATAAACTAAACATAAATTTAAAAGAACAAGAATTAGTCAATTGATAATAAAAGTGTATCCTTTATGTATATGTGCAATATTTTTAAAAAAGTATCATTTACGCAAAATGTTTCAAAAAATGTACTATATAATTTATCCTCTTGTTTTGTTTCAAATAAATGTCCAGTTGCTTAAAACTTCCACTAGAAGCCCAATAATAATATGAGCCTACTCATGAAACCAATACGGGCATTAAAGGCCCAAATCCTTGAAACATAAGGGAGCCACAAACCCTAGATTTGAGGATAATAACATCTAACGGCTTAAGGCAGAGTCGTTGTCGATCTCAGCCGTTCACTACTTAACTCATCTATATATGAACTCCAATCTGGAATTGCTGCCTACCTTCTCCTAGGGTTTTGAAGTAGGGCAATAAGCTGCAGCTCTGAGGTAATATCCTCCAAATTTCATCTCGAGGAATTTTCATGTCGAGATAAATGTTTTCAACAATTAGTTGGTATCTTTGTATGCGCATATTACAGTTCTATACTCACTATGAAGAGTTTGTGTGCGGGTCAAATCGATGAAGAGTGCCGTATATTTATCAGCTTTTAGCTGAGATCTGTTGTTGATTTAATGAATTTATTTGGTGATCTGTGTTGCGTTATTCTTGGCATAGATTTAACTATACTGTCGTGTTGTTGGATGACCATTGGAATCTTGCCCATGTTTTATTTAGGTGAATACTTTCAATTTTCATGGCGTGCTGTTGACATTCAGTCTTCGTTAAATAGCTCATTGATTTCTTTAAATCAACTTTTTAGATACGTGACATTGGTTGTAGAATTTTATTCTCCCCATGTCTTGACTTTTTGATGGATGGGCTGATAACTTTGTATCGTTGTGATGATTGAAATGTACTCCCATAAATAACCTTACTAATCAAGGCTGGAGTCTCAAAAGGGTTCTTCTTGCCAATGCCCCGTTATTGGGGTGTTGCAAAGAAACACCAAAGGAGCCCGAGAATTGGCATACTAAACAGTTGCCATAGGCCTTTGGTTTGGGGACATTTCATTTCATTTGCAAAGAATACGGATTTAGTCCTCTGTCCTAAGTCATAACTTGGTTTCTGTTCTTTTTGCTTTGTGCTTTCAAATTTAACGTAACTAATTTGGTAGATGTTCTTTTGTTGCTGTACTTTTGAAGATTTTTAATGAGCGCATAATAAAGTTTCATGTGATTTGGTGACATAATATGGTTGAGAAAAGCATTCGACTATTCTGTGATAATCTGCTCATTTTGTGCTAATAATGAAACTTTGCTATTTGAACTGTGAAAAATTCAATCCTATTTTTTATTGTTAGATCAACACAAACCATCCAACAGTAAAAGTCTGGTGAAGGTAGTACCTTCACCTGTGTAGGGTCGAATTTGCCCAGAATTGCCATGTGGATGGAGCAAAAATTCATGGTGGACTGTTTTGAATGTTTCTGATATAGTTGGTTCTTGTATTTAAATTTATGACATTATTCTCATTACGTATAACCTTCATTATATGTCTATAATGTCCATGAAATAGATTGTGGTTGTGCTCGTGATTATTATTGTGAGAAATGAATTTAAAGTGTACTAGTCTTGCAGAATTTAGAACAATGTCTCACCGAAAGTTTGAACACCCAAGGCACGGATCTTTGGGATTTCTTCCAAGGAAAAGAGCCTCTCGTCACAGAGGAAAAGGTTTGTTTTTTATCATATTTGAAATGGCATGCATAAATCCAGTGATGATTTTGTTGTTTTTTCCTTGGACTGTGTTGTCATATGAAATTATTAGTTATTACAGTATCACTTAAGAAGTCGTTTGGGATTGATTTTATTTTAATCTTCTATTGAACATTTTGGAAATTTGTTCATTGTTATAAATTATCATATGCGAAATAAATGTTTCAGTGTTTTATAACTATTGCTAATATTGAATAGATTTATCCTAAGTATGATTTTGCCTGTTATGACGTATATTGAAGTACCTTGTAGCTTATTGGGTGTTGTTCATTCCACAATCTCCTGATATGGTCATTTGCTTTGGTTCAGTTCGCATTTCTGCATGATGTTTAGGACTTTTTTTTGTATTTTGCAATATAATAATTAATGCCATGGCATTTCAATATGCATTTCTACAGTGAAGGCTTTTCCCAAAGATGACCCAACAAAAGCTTGTAGGCTCACTGCTTTTCTTGGTTACAAAGCTGGGATGACACATATTGTGCGTGAAGTTGAAAAACCTGGATCAAGTAAGAACCTGAAATGTTTTCAGCATTCTTATTTCTTATTACATCCATGTAAACTTGTTTCCGGAGTACTTGGTAATTTGCCTCTGTATTTCCCAATAATATGTAATGCGAGATGCTTATTTTGCAGAATTATTACCTTGAAACGAACTTACTATTTTAATGTCAAGTTTGAACTGAATGTAAACATTCCATAATCTTTGTTTTTGGTATGAAGATCTATGGTTCTGATTTCATTTCATTTGTTGAACATTAATTTACTGGTTTGCGGCATTGAAACTTACTACTTGCGATTATCTGTCCAGAACTCCACAAGAAGGAAACATGCGAGGCAGTGACAATCATAGAAACACCACCAATGATTGTTGTTGGGGTTGTGGGTTACGTAAAAACACCACGTGGCCTCCGTTGTCTGAATACTGTTTGGGCCCAACATCTCAGTGAGGATGTGAAGAGGAGGTTCTACAAAAATTGGTGCAAGTCCAAAAAGAAGGCGTTCACCAAATACTCCAAGAAATTTGAAAGTGAAGAAGGGAAGAAGGACATCGATGCCCAGTTGGAGAAAATGAAGAAGTACTGCACAGTCATTCGTGTCTTGGCTCACACACAGGTGTGCTCTTCTCAACAGTTTTCACCTTTTCAGTCTATTCTGTCAGGGCCACTGATTTGTATACAAGTATTTTAAGTGAGTTGAAAACCCAAGACTAATATTAAATTTTGTGATATTATTTTAGAATGTAATGCTAGACACAAGACCAATTTTTAAGTGGGGGATCTAATCACAATGTTCCAAATAAATCTTATAATTCGCTGTATGCTGACTAGATCTTAAAATTTTAATGCGGCTTGACTTTTGTTATCTTTGCATTTCAGATACGCAAGATGAAAGGTCTCAAACAGAAGAAAGCCCACCTGATGGAAATTCAGGTCAATGGTGGAGATGTTGCCAAGAAGGTTGATTTTGCATATGGATTTTTTGAAAAGCAGATTCCAGTTGAGGCCGTCTTCCAGAAGGATGAGATGATTGACATCATTGGGGTGACCAAAGGTAAGGGGTATGAAGGTGTGGTGACTCGTTGGGGTGTAACCCGACTTCCCAGGAAAACCCACCGTGGGCTCCGCAAGGTTGCATGTATTGGTGCTTGGCATCCTGCTAGGGTTTCATTCACTGTGGCCAGGGCTGGTCAGAATGGGTATCATCATAGGACAGAGGTGAACAAGAAGATATACAAACTGGGGAAGGCTGGACAGGAATCTCATTCTGCCATGACTGAATTTGATAGGTCAGCTATGCAATTTTCTCTACTTAATAATTTTACCAGCCTTTGATTGGTTGTCTGTTGTTTCTGCACGATGAAAATTTTGTGTGGTAGAGGTAGCAGTATTTGGTTTACACTTGGGAAGATTGCAAGAGTATATTTTTAAATACTAATCTGACCTAACCTTGGATATGTTTATATATGTGCCAAATGGGAGTCCTCTTGGTGATTTGTATCAACTTGTTAAGTATTTTACATGTTTGCAGGACTGAGAAGGACATCACACCAATGGGAGGGTTCCCACACTATGGTGTGGTGAAAGGTGACTATCTATTGATTAAGGGGTGCTGTGTGGGCCCCAAAAAGCGTGTGGTGACCTTGAGGCAGTCACTGTTGAACCAGACTTCGAGGGTTGCCTTGGAAGATATCAAACTCAAGTTCATCGACACATCCTCCAAGTTTGGACACGGCCGCTTCCAGACAACTGATGAGAAGGCCAAGTTTTTTGGCAGGCTCAAGGCCTGAGGTCAATAAATTCTTTTTCTCTGGGAATGTTATTCATTTTTCTTGTTTCAAGTTTTTGAATTTTGAAACTGCGGAAAGAATGTTCTTTCGAAGTTTGGAACCTTAAATGGAATTTTTGTTATTCTTCATCCTAGTGTTTGGAAACCTTAAATGGAAGTTCTGTTTTCGTAGTCCGGAGTCTGGCTTAGTCAATAAACCAATATACTATTTTTTTTACAAGTATACGTAATGTGTTATATTTTAAAACACGAACAAATCTGAGTTGAAATACTTGATAGACTAAATTATGATTTGTACTTTAAAACACAAACAAATCAGAGTTGAAATGTCGTGAGTTATTTATTTGGGATTTTGAAAAGCCGTACAAAATCCTGAGTATTTAACTTATTTTAAATTATGATTTGTTAAGATTTTTTATGATTTGCTAGGATTAAAAAAAAGATATATAGAATTTCACTCCAAATCTCAACTCAATACATGTACATAGGAGGTGTACTCGTTTGGAATTTCGAATAATATTTTGAGATTTTAAGATTTGAGATTTCTTAAAATTTTCAACTTTTGGAGAAATCCTGTAAAATATTAAGTTTGGAGATGAAATTTGGATTGAGATTTCATTTTAAGGTTATTTCTTTCTGAAATTCCAACATATCTTAAAAAGTCTTAACAAATCATAGTATTAAATAAGTTAAACACCTCATGATTTTATAAAACTTTTTAAAATCTCAAATGAATACACATACATATTTAAAAGTCTCAAGAAATTTAAATTAAATACACCAAGATTTCTAAAATTTTAAAAAAGTCTTCAAAAATTCCAAATGTATTAAAAAATATGAAAATATGAAAATATTAAATATGAAAATATGAAAATATTAAATATGAAAATATACATCCCCTTAAGATTTCACAACATTCCTCATAAATATGAAAATATTAAAAAATTTTAAATCTTAAAGTCTCAAAATATCACTTAAAATTCGAAACGAATACACCTCTTATTCTATAACTAATAAAAATAATCAAAACCAATAATGAGATCAAAAGTATTGTTATAACTAAAAAAAATAATAAAAACTTAAAACATGTTGGATTAGACGTGCGAACCTAGCGCACGCGCAACAGAATTTTAATTTTTTCTTACCAACAACAAAGATCCGACTATAGCTATTCGATATGAGCCTAGGTCGCGTGAATGAAAACGAAAACTTACAACTTCTCGTAAACTTTACTCTCGACTATGGTAATTGGTATCCATGCAATCCTGTTTCCCGATCCAACACCAATGAATCCTTTCAGGTGAATAAGCTAGGAATCTTCAATCCAGAAAGCTAAAGAGTGTTTGTGATGTTACAATATATCTCTCTTCTTCTTATCAAGACTGTGAAGAGATAATGATGTATTTATAATTAAAAAACCTAATTATATGAGTCTTTAAGAGAACTTATGGTCCAATAGGTAATTGGATCTAATTCAATTAATAGCTTAGTTAAGTATAAATCTTAACTTAATTAAATATTTTTTATCAAATAGAAATTAATCCCATTACTCATAAATAAATATTCCAATCTAATTGAATATTTAACACTCTCGATTCACTTTTAGTCGAAAAACTGATTGCATATTGTGTGACCCTATAGGCCTTTATATATTGACATAATATTATCTTAGACTACGTCGAAAGACGAACTCAAAATATGATGTACGTTTACATGGACAAAGCAAACAAATCTTTAGTGTAAAACTGAATGATGATACAGTTCCTTCATTCACAAACCACTCGATTAAGCTTAGGACTTGAGCGTGTGTCTATCCAACCAACTTAATCATTTTATCTCATATTATTGGTTGATTTTAATCAATTATATTTGAACACCATTTAAAATATAATCACATGCATTGACCAATTACTTTATCAACTCAGTATTGTTCTCTCGAAACTATATTCGAGGAATGACTCCTAATCTTGGCTCAACTACCAGTTCCATATATATTGTGATCAACCCAATACAAGCTTGTATCTACCCCATAAGGAGCGTAAGCGTTGGACTAGGTCTAAGTAAATCACTCTATACATGAATTATGTATTGACCTTAAGTCAAATGACTATTACTGTATTACACCATTCCACACACCGATACTCCCATAGACAAATAAACAAATAGTTTATCGGTAGAGTATACCAATAGTCTCCAAACTATCCATGTGTCCATCACGAATAACAATTATTCGTAGTAGTGAGACATACTATATTCAAGAATATGATGCAGAACACATGTCAATCTATCGCGTATAATTAATATTCCTTTCTTAATGATCATCTTGTAAATTTGTAATTAATTATATTGAAATCAAATTTGAAAAACTAATTAAAAAAATAAAACAATATTTTTTTTATAAAAAAATATTGGGTCAATTTTAAACATTATCCACAATAAGAAAAAAAGTAATCTATGTTCCCAAAAGATCCGCATGGAATAAAAAAATAGTTACTTTTAACTAATTTTTAAATAACCCCTGTAACATTTTTTTTGTCTTTATCGCATATTGCAAGTGTTGGTTTTACTCTTGATTTTTTTAGAGCTATGTGTTATAATTTTAATATTTTATTTTTATTGTTTTATAAGAATTCTATCAATGTGTATTTCTAAAAAACTAGTTAAATTATAATTATCATAAATTCAATGCAAATAAGTGCTTGTTGTTAACCTCAACATTGACGTATTGACAGTGATAATCTTGGTTGTTCGCTTAATATACACCGGCGTCCCGTATTTTCAACCTAATTGATCACAACCTTGCCACTCTACATCAATCCATAACCACCTTGGCTTCCATCCATGTTGCGATTCAGGAACATCCTTCATCAAATGGGCTTATTTGCCTTCTAGCGGATGAAGGTTGAAATGTCCCGATCCCTCTTTGGCTTATAACGGGAGTACCTGAACAATGGCGATCCCGCATTCTTTCAAGTACTAGGTGATCATAGAAGGCAGTAGAAATCTCAACCTCGACAATATCACATTTTTCTGCACTGCAACGCTTCACTCTGGGGGATAGTAAGCCCACTCGCCTTCATATGGAACAAACGTCTTGATAACACCTGGGATTTCGTACTTCTCGCGTATCCTTTACAGTTTGGAATCTTCCATAATGCTCTTCTGAATATAGATCTCTATATCACGTTCCTTCGACGGCACTCATATTGGCGGACGATGCTAACATCCCTCTGGCGTTTGAATCTGATCCTCAAGCTCTCTCATTTCATGATCACTCAAAGAAAACACGTTTACCAGAAGAAGGAAGGAGAAAAATGAAGAAAAAGTTAGGGTTTCTGTTGTAAAAAATTCAAATCCTTGGGAGTTTCTGAAAAAAGACAGACGGAGTACCTTCCTTTTATACAAACAACTTTTGTGAAGTTGTCACGTGATCTTTTGTGATGGGGGAACCAGTTGCAGGTCCGAGGTCCCTTATATTATATGATTGGTGTTGACTTGTGGTTTGCGGCGATCACCAAGTTTTTGTTAATATGGTGTAAAGAGATCGTCGAATAATATTGTTCCATCTGGGGAGGAAGATACAAATCACCATAGCTTGAAACAATCCACTTATGATGGCCATGGGAACATGTCTTTTACGAAGCGGTGATTCGAGAAAAACTTCTAAATGATCAGTCGAAGTTGTATTGTCTTCTGATGTCTTGTTAAGCCAATCAGTTTATCGTCAAAGTGTTTCTATGTGATCGTCGGTGTTTTCTTTGAGGTGGTTGACGATTTTAATCTTCTTCATGTTGTAAGACTTTGATAGCTTCTTTCTTGATAGATAATTGGCGGTGGATCTTTAATAAAAAACCGTTTATTTTTATAATTGAGAGCTAATAAACATTTTTTTTAGATATGAATCGCCTTAGAGAAGACCCAAGATACTTGTTTACAAGACACTCGGGTTGTGAGAAAAATCGTCGAATGGCAAAGATAAGAATTTTTCTGCCAATCGGCAGAAATTTGGTCTTGGAGATCATCTTTTCTCGACTTAGGTTGGATTTCCGAAATAGTTTTGAGATCGCCAATTATAAGGAAATATTGTCGGCAAGTTGGGACAATCTTTGTCTTGTAATAAATACCAACGATGAGCCAATGCATCTTTAAAGAAGTTTTTGTCCGTTGATTGTCTATATTGAGATCGTTGTTAACTGAACGTCGACCTTGTATCTACCTGTCCCTTGTAATATAATGCTAAACATTGACCGAAAACTACGCGATCTCATAGAAATATTACAATGTAGTAATCGCGTATAGACAATACACAAATAGCGACCTTTAGAAAAAAGCAAGGGTACATTCATATATAATAATTTGAACATGTGTAACTTGTCGACCTATACATATCTAAACATTGGCTAATCTAGATATGCATAATTGTGAGGGCTTCCTCTTTTGTTCTATCAATGTTGTTGATGTTGATTAGCTAGATCGTCTATTTAAAGATATAAATATTGATCGTCATGTTGTAGGCATAAAACTTGATCAACATGTCGTTCTCACACGGGAAGATAATGTGCCGAAAACGTCATATGGGGCTTCTTTCAAACATATTAGCCCTTTCTCGTGTGATCGGACGCGGTGATCGAAGCTTGACAGTAAATTTACGTAAGACGCTCTTTCCATGGGGTGATATAATGCCAAAATCCCAGAGAGCATCTTTGAACAGATCAGGTGCTGATGTGCCAATATGCTTCGATCGCCGTTGATAATGGGGGAGGCTTGTGGCATCGCCTGACCTTGATGGATTATCCCAACCCTAGGTTGAGGTGTACTCTGAAGGTCATTGCTTGGCCTGGCCCTAGATCTTGCAGCACCAACCCAGCATGGCGATTAGATAGTCGAGCAATCATAACTATGGTTTTGTTAGTGATAACCCCACAATTATGGAGTTGATAGCTGGGTTGGGGTTTTCTTGGCCTAAGGAGAGAATCTAGTCATATTTCATGAGGATGAATACCTCTGACCCTCTCCTCAGGCCCCCGGCGATGATCAGGAATACTCAAGCACCGACTAACCTTCTACCTTCATGTTCTTGTTGAGTGTGGACTAGCGATCCATATTCTTGTCAGAGGTAAGCTAGTAAAGGTTTGCCCAAAAGTACAGATCTGAGCTTTTTGTGGGGAGAAGAGGCAAAAATCAAGTATTTTGGATAATTTAAGGGAGATGTCGACAAGATAAATAGACAATCTGAGACGAATGGGTTGGCAGAGCCGCCCATTTATCCGGTCGAGGACCAAAAAAGAGACGGTCGGTTGTGCTGCCTTTCATCCGATAGGTTTTTATGAAGAGGAGGTAAAAAGAAGTGTATGAAAAAATCTTACCAGTTCTCGACTTTTATAGGAGTGAGGTCTAGATATAATCCTTGATGGCCTCCATTCTTCTAGCACAATTTTGTTGACGGTGTGTCGCTAACGGTTATAATTAACGTGTTATAGGCAATTTATTAGGAATATTACAATATAATTATGGTAATATTTGGATATTTGGGATATGAAGATATCGCGAGAATCATAAATGAGTAAAATAAAACGAGACACAAATTTTGCCGATCAGTTTTCGCGACCGACAAGGAGAGGGTTTCTCCATAATTTTTAGAAATAGTGTGAGAATTACAGTCGAATATTTTAGGTATGATCTACGGGATATCATATAGAATAATGGCGATCGTGATGATCTTTGAGGGATTAGCCTAGGTTGGCTTATAAGTGTTTTTTGCTTAGCCTGGAATTCATTGAACTTGATTGCCTTCTTCTAGGCTTGAGGGCCAATATATATACATGAAAAAGGTGTCGGTGCATTAAATGATCAGTGCCAGCTAGGGCGTATGGTGGCGCCGCGTGTTTCCATGCAAAAGTTGATGGGACATGTAAGGCGGTGCTATCAACTTTATCATGGCGTGTTCCGGTGATCGTCGTGTTGAACGGGTGATCAACAATCCTAATGATGATCGTTTGGGCCGACTGTGGAGTGACTTTTTTGGTCTGGGGTCTTGTTTGTTCACTTGGACTTGAGATTAGAACGTGGACTACGTAATTTCTTGTGATCGAATATTTTGGGTACAATATATTAAAAATGAATTTTTTAGGCTGAATTTTAATTTTTTAAAGTAAATGCTATTCCTATTATCTATTAATAGATATTAGAAATGTGTTTAAATAACATTTATAGAATAATTACTATCATAATATATATATATATTAAAAAAAAAAAGCAATAACCACATATATCGTGCTTCTATAGTTCTATACATACTACCTTTGCCGCTCCCGAAAAAAGGGTTTCATTTCTCTTTTCTGTTTTTTCCTCTCATTTTTCTCTCTAAAATTTCTCTCTTCCGTTGTTTTTCATCGCATTTTCTCCTTCCCTTTTCCTTCCATGGAAAAGAAATCGGAGAATACAATCTGATATCCGATCGTCATGTCAACAGATTCTGTTGCAATCTCCTCCGGTTCGGCGCCTACCTCGGCCCCCGGTTCGCCCAAAAGCCGCCTCAAGTTCCTCTGCAGCCACGGCGGCAGAATCCTCCCCCGCCCCTCCGACGCCCACCTCAAGTACGTCGGTGGCGAAACACGTGTCATCTCGGTTCCTCCGGACATTTCTTTCCAGGGTACGTTGATCTAATTGTTCTTCTACCTCTTTTTCTTCTAGTAACTGTCAGTACTTTTCTCGTCTTGTTTGCATGTTTAGAGAAATTGGCTTTCGATTATCAGAAACTGTTCATCTGTAGCGTGCTCGGATGTTTTAGATTAGAAATACAATTGAATTCCCAGAAACACAATTTGATTAGAATTCTCACGGCCTGCAGAAGTTTTAATCATGAATTTGTGGCAACAAAGTGTATTCTGGAATCTGGATGAATGTTTTCTGCTTGATCTTTTGATTAACTTTAACAGCATTAGCTACCTATAACATGGATTCTTAATTGCCCTGTTGTCAGGTTGTATTGTTTCAATGAACTATGAATTCCATTGTGTTACATTTCAAAATAATCAAGATTTACTGAAATTAAAAAAAAAAATAAAAAAATCAAGATTTTCAATTCAAAATTTACTTCCCTTTGACCACTTTCCTTATGCAGAACTCATGAAAAAACTCACCTACCAAATTGATGGTGACATGAGGCTCAAGTACCAGGTATGTTCCGAGGACCTCGACGCCCTCGTCACTGTCAAATCCGACGAGGATCTCCGCCACATGCTCGACGATATTGACCGTCACAACCGCTCTTCCCTCTCCAAACTCCGTGCCTTCCTTTTCCCTCTCAACCCTTCACCCGACCCCGAACGCAACTCCCCAGCCCTTGACCACCAGCGCTACATCGACGCCATCAATGGCATAATCCGAACCGGCCGAATTCACGCAGTACAGCACGGCTCTCGGGTCTCGTCCGCCTGCTCCTCCCCACACTCACCCGACAGCTGTACCTCCGAGACCTTAAATCACGAGCCCGTGGCCCACATCCCAAGCAACTACTATAGCGGCATGCATAGAGTCAGGAGCTCGCCCAGCATATGCAGCAGCCTCAGCAATGGCCCACAGCCGAATTTTCATCACTTTTCGCCTCAACCGGGCCCGAGTTTTTACTACGGGCCCAAGAGCCCGACTCCAGATAGGCTGATCTCGGTGAGGTCGGTGGGCCGGGCGGAAGGGGTGAGGTATCAGGTGGAGGCTTTGCCCGTGCAATGTTATTATTCACCTACTGCTGCTGCTGTTTCTAGGCAGAACAGAGGGAATGGGTTGTTGCAGTGTGATGAGTGGGGCAATGTTGTGGATAGGAGGATGATGGCGGACAGGAATGTGAGCCTTGTGAATAGTTTGGTCTCGGCAAGCCCGCTTGGGCAGGGCCAGCAAGCCTGGGATAGGGATGTTTGAATTTGATTGGTCGGGCTGGCTGGAGGTTGTTTAGAAAATGTGGGATTTGCGTTTGACGTGTTTGAAGGAAGTATGGCTCGATTGTAGGTGGTTAGAGTTGATGATGACGATAAAATGGTCAGTTGGGTGTGGTTTTTTTTGCACCAACTTATGTTTCTCTAAGAGTAAGCGTGTCTTGATAATTTTAATCGACTCCTTCGCTCTTGATATGGGGAAAGGATGATTGGCAATGCTTTATGATGCCTCAAGGAACGCTTTTGACGTCAAATGTTGTTGTGAACTGAGGTCGCTTTTTTTTTTTTAGTGTGTGAATATATGCTGCCTTTCTTGCGTTCAGCTACATTTTTCTGGGGGGCTTTTATAATTAGACGCATGTAGGTTGTGAATCAAGTTGTAGTTTGATTGGTAGGTTGTGAATCAACTAATCAAGTTTTAGTTCACTTAGAAGGCATCTCTAATGGGTCAGCCCATTGACTAGCAACCCAACCAGTTGACCCGTTTCACTTCATTAGATACGATGAAGAACTTTGTTTATCACTATTTTATTATACTAGTAAAGCGCACGTAAATCGCACGTGGTGCCGAATGTTTTTTTTACCGATTAAATTTAGTAAAATAAATTAATTAATTTATTAAACATATCATTGCAGGAACAAAATAAAATGTAGAACAAATGAGCTAGCTCTTAATGTATTTTTTTGTCCAAATATAACATAACGATGTACTAATATAAAAAAAATAAAATAACATATTACAACTCCGGCAAAAATACATGAAAAATGAATCCATAATTTTTTTTTTTAAAAAAAGACACTAAATAACTAAATAAANGTGATTTTCTTTCATTTTAGTTTTGACGTTCTCATAATAAAAACATTCATGCCCATTCGAGTTCTATACATCAATAGGCAATTTCTTCTTAAGTCATTAGACAAAAAGTCTACTTTATTCAAACAACGCAAAATATTTTGTCCAAACATATAGTCAAACTCTATGATTATGATCTTTATAAAGTATTGCTAATAACAATTAATGAATATCTTTGTGAAATAATCAACCATGTCACTAAAATTGCTGATATTATCCTTTTTTTTTTTTAACTACTACATTAACTACTACATTATTCTCTCTCCATCTAGACAAATTGACACCTCCCCCATGGAGGCATCGCTCATGGGGTGAGAATGAGTTTTATTTTCAAATAAAAGTTGACCTTTCAAAATATTGGTTACATATACTTCTCCCGAGACGCTAAATTATTTTTTTAAATTATCACACATTACATGAAGACTAAATTATTTTTTGAAATCATCATACATTACATGAAAGTATATACTCTAGAGTACTTGCACATATGTTCGAGCACAATACCGCAATAAAATTGTAGATATTTCTATCAAAATATGATAACTTCATTCAAAAATTCAAAAATATTTTTATCATGCTCCGAAATTTCCTTTTCAATGTTATCTACACTTATATTAAAAGGTATATCATTTACCAGATTTAGTATAAAGAAAAGTCAACAACATTTATTGCATTACTATTTCCGTATTATACAATCTATACTTATATANACAATGAAAAAAAAAACAATGAGATAATATTGAGAAACATATCATTTGTTAAAATATTAGAGAGGAGAAAAATCAAAATTCTATTATATTATAATACTCTTCGCCATCTGTGAAATTTATTATCACAAAATCATTATAAAAATATATATTATGTATTACAAAGTTTTTTATTTTTTTTAATTATTTAAAAAATCAAAATTGATATTATAGGGCCAATATTTATGAGAATTTAAATGCCAGTAATAAAAAATGTAGTAATTATAAAAGACTTTTTTTCTAGATGTTGATATTCATATTTCTCTAAAATAAAAAAATCAGATTTATTTTTTCTCATTGCCTTAATATTGTTTTATTTGTTTCTTATTATATTCACAAATAATATTTTATTTGTTAAAAGAATTAGGGCATATTTATATGTATTGTTTAATTTGTTTACATATTTTATATAATTATGTTGTTATCAAAGTATCTTATTTATTTGGCTACAACTATAATCTAAATAAGATAAAATATTATTTAATATTATTTATTTATAATAATATATTTTTGATAAAATTGTACTTTTATACTGTTTATTCAATCAAGTTTTTTTATTTTTTTTTATTTTTTTTTAA